ATTTTCATTGGTTGAACACGAAAGTTTATATAAAATTTCGTGTATTCTTGATCAAACGCGTATTTACATAAAACTACAATTTAAATGAAAAAGAAAAAGATGTTAATATTTAAAGAATCATTTAAGCACTTGAATGTACGAATTGCGTACTTCAGTAGAAAAGTAAAAAATGAAGATAAAAATGCATGTTGCAATCTGATATTTTTTTACTAAATTGTTTCTCTTACTTTTTCCACTGAAATATTAAAACTCGTGATTATAAAAATTTTCTTGCAACTTGTAAATAAACAACACAATATACCGAAATATTCAATTGTATACACTATGTATCGTATGTTTCAATTTCTGCTGTTTAAACAAAAAAATTTTTTTCAGTAATGTGAAACCTCTGAATAATGTAAACAACGTAGAACCAATATTTTTTTTAAATTAACAAATACTGTCCACGTTGTGTATTTAATTAATAAATTCTTTGCATTAAAAAAAACATAGGTGCAAGACAAGTTTCATTAGGATGAAAAATAAAAAACTGTTTGATCTTAATTAATCAGTTATAAGAATCAGCTCGGAATGGTTCAGTAATGTTTCATCGATAAGTATTGTCAATCACTCATTTGTTTGCATGATGCTACGTAAACTTGACTTGCGAGATACCCATGCCAATAACGAAGTAACATTCCAAGTAGAAAAGTCTACGTTTGGTCAGACACCAGGAGTACTTCGGTTATACTCATTTGTTTGCATGAAGCCACGTAAACTTGACTTGCGAGGTACCGATGCCAATAACGAAGTAACATCCTAAGTGGAAAAACCTACATTTGGTCAGCCACCGCGAGTACTTCGGTAACAAGTACATCGAAACACCGAATGGAATTATTTTCGCAAAAACGAAGCCGTCGGACGTAACGATTAATATTTGGCAATTTGCAGAGTAGGCCAAAAGGAAGAGCTCGTCCCTCAGCACGCTGGGAGCGTTTGATATTCAACCGTCTGTCGTCATCGTTTGGCGGTTTAATTTATGGCCGAAGCGGTGAAATAATAAGCGAGCGATTATAGAACGCAGCAGTCAAAGTTGATTTAAACGTTTGTGTATCCAGGAAAATCAGAGGACTCTCATAATTTGGGGCCTATTTAATTTGTATTCTTTGGTACACACCTATATTAAAATGTATATATTATGATGTTGAACGTTAATTGCGCTTTTCGAGACTTAAAATAAACATTTCGTTTTTTTAAATTAGGTTGTTGAAAGATAGTCACGGATTTATTAACAACAGCAAGGTTTAATTAAAATGTTATTTTCAACACTCGTGTGGAGTACCAAAAAATGTGTGCATTGGTCTTGAAAATTATCGAAAAAATATTATTCTTGTCTTAGGCTTGAGTCAAAACTATCTTGTACTGTATAGTAGTTTGGTCTTGACCCTCAATTTTGAAAAAAAAGCTTTCATTGAAACAACAACATCTGAGTACTAATAAAACTTGTGGCTTTGATTTTACAAGTTGGGATCAAGATTCAAAAACCAAAGCATTGAAAACGCTGAAGATATATTTCAAATTATGTGTTGCGTTGGTTTAAAAATGATGATGACGGTGTTCTAAATTGAATTCACGATAATCCAATTTATGAATAATAGCTCGTGATGCATTGAGCATGCTAGCTTCGTCAGTCCTTGTGGAACATTTGTTTTTTGAAACAGCATTAATGTGACACACATACGAAAACACCATTGAAAAGTAAAACTGTACGAAAGTTTTGTTTTGTATGAGTTCGTGGTTAAAAAGTACTTTGAAAGACAAAATTTGTGGTGTTCATATTAAAATCATGCCAGAAATTTCTCTTTTCTCTATGAATACTTAAAGCCCTTACGCCCACAGATAAAAATTTTCTGAAAGTTTTGTATTGGTATAGTCTTGAAATTAGAAAAACACCAAGTACCGGCAGATGAGTGTAAAAAAGTGCCCGATTCCAGCACCAAACCATTCTATTACACGTAAAGTTTGAAGATATTACCTGACCTTTTCATAAACGTCTCGACGCACCCATACTATATTGTACGCGAGGAGCTTCGAAATTACCCCCCCAAAACCAACTCAACGAATACATATGTGCGTAGGCGGGAAATCACGAAAGTTTGAACAAATCCTTGGGAAATAAAGCGACACGTGTCGCAACGTCCCGCGCGTGAGCAAAGCGCCAGAGACTCACGGATACCCAGATAAGAAGGGAAGGAAGCTCCATCAGGTGAAAGCAATCTCTCCGTTCCACCGTCGTGGCTGGGGGTTACATGCAAAATGGAGCAGCATCTCCTATACGTACAACCAGGCCACACATGCACACGCACGCAGCTCTTACGTCGAACGCAATTCAAACCTAATGGTAGAAGAGCTGGCGCAGGCCCTTCCCTCCTCATTTGCATGGGAATGGCGAGCGCCGCTCTACACACTCCTTCCCCTCGCGATGTATCTCTATTTGCACTCTCTCCCCCGCGTGCGATCGCGTGCACGTGTACGCCCAATACCGAGTGTGCTCTTTGTAGTTTTTTTTTTTATTTTTTTTTTTTTCCTCCCCAGAGTAGGATTATGAGTTTTGCACTTTCCGACGGGGGTTGCCCGAGGTACGCTAGAGGGAGAGGCTCGATGTTGCTTTCTACTTGGCAGTTCATTGATTGAGAGGCGACGGGGCCGATGGTGCACAGCTCCGGCTATTTTTTTTTTTTTTTTTTTTTCAATTTGAGCGCACGAGTTTCGTCGATGCTCGCACGTTTCGTCCATATCGGTTAATCGACTTCGAAAGATAGGTATAGCTCGATAAGTTTGCTGATATTGGCATTGTTCTCATATCTCACCAAGAACGGTACACGACGCGCATGGCTTCGACGCTTTTGAGTAAAATTATTTTTGATGCTGCGTTGGGAGTATAATATATGCCCTTACAACCGTACCGGAATCGCTTTTGTACAGAACTAAAACTTTAGAAACGAATAAAACATACGCTAGAACGGCACTACATTTAGTGGTTTTTTTTTTCGGCTACCAAATGCGAGAGTCCTGATTGCTCCATCACATTACTATTTGTAAAAAAAAAAAAAAAAAAAAAAAAATGTACATAAGCAAGAGACAATGCATTAACCTCATTACATAGCTCCGAAAATAATGGAGCCGCTGTTCAAACAAGCGTACAAAATTGTGGCGTGACAGAGTGATTTTGGGCGTGGGATTCGTGCGCGGCGTCCTGAAAAAAGATTTACTTCATGCTGTGCTGCTCTTGGGTATTTTACTTTTGTTTTATGTACACAATCACACGCTAAGCCAATTTTGCTACCATAGCTTCATATATTGTATACAATTGTGAATGTATACAAAGTTTGTTGAAATCTTGTTTGTTTGAGACCTCGCAATGCAATGCGACAAAAAACTTAATTGTTTCATTGAGTTTTTCAAAGGTATAGTAATATAAATCACGATGGAGGAGATCTAACTTTTTTACATAAAGTACCGGGTAAAGAGTATCCGGATAGAAGTACCATCAAAACCCCTAGAGGGATACACAAGAAAATAACGGAACGTAAAAGAGACGCGAAAGTAAAAAGTACAAAACTTGCACTAGTCCAACATAACGAAGAATTGGGATTTAAGTTTTAATTTTGACGCAATTTGAAAGAAGAGACCATATATTCGTCTGATACATGAGATTGGAGGGGATACTTAAACCTACCGATGAGCCCATGGTAAGGAAAACTGGTGAACTCTGTTACCTTACTATTCGTAAATTCATTGAAATACATTTAAAATCAGAAACTAATATTGTTAAGTTGCACAGTTTCAAATTGGGCGGTAGTTTTGACAAATATTAGCTAGGTATTTTGGTACACAGACCTGAGTTCAATGCTCAATATGGAGTAATTAAAAATCAAAACTCAGTTAACATTGCCACAGTATGACTTCAGTTGGGTGGTGTTCTTCTGTTAGAGGTAGCCTCAACAGCATACCTCAATTAAAATTAGTTTTTTTTAAACAAATTGTTACACCACAATGATTTTTATTCGATGCAAGTACCCGCGCACCCTCAGTTAAAGTTTACTTTCACACAATGATAGCGTTTTTTTTTTCAAAAGCCGAAAAAAAAAGTGTCGCTCCCCTGCAAACGTACGTTCCAACAAGTTCGAGCGCACCAAGGCGCAAGCGGTAGGTATTGTATTACGTGAAAATAAATTTTAGAGAGCCCAGAAATTTCAGGCGCCGAGTGGTAAATTTGATTTTTGCCGGCGTCGCTTTTACGAAAAAACCGGCGCGCATACTTTTGGTAATTTTGTTGGCAGAAGCCAATTGTTTGTACTTTACGAGAAAAGGTTGGGAAGCGAACTTTCTTTTGGCTCAGGAGCTCCATTTATTTTTGTCTCGTTTTACTTTTACGACTGTTTGTGATTATTTTTCCCAGACGCCAACTTTGCTCGATGAAATTCGACAAGACTCACATCGGTATTGCTTTGGTTTTTATTCACTCGTTTTTTATACTCCGTTTCTTTCACTACCCATTATAAGCTGAAAGCGCGTAGTTGAAATTTCTCTTTTTTATCAAATGCATTGCAGTTGGATTGATAAGAATTAAAACAACAACCAAATCAACGGTGCACCAAATGATTAACCGGTTTTACTAAACTGGACACTTCTGAATGGAAAAAACCAGCGTAGGAAAGCTGCAGAGTGGAAAAACTTGGCTATCACAGATTCAACATGTTTACGAATTTGTAAAATCTTAGACAGAAATGTTTTACCCTCTAGATCCCTCTTATGGAAGAGATGAAATAGTTAACGAAGCATCAGTTCTTAAAAAGTTTGTCAAGACTACGATAATGCATATTGTAAAAAACAGAAAAGATTTTGTTCCCGCAAAAAAATGAAAAAGACCTCGAATCGAGGTACCTCTCATCACTGGTCAATTATTTGAAAAACTTAAGTGATACAATTAGATAATCATGAGAACTAGTAGTCCTCACCTTCGATCAACTGGTCCAGCATGGCGTAGATGTGGGACGTCGCCTCGTCAGTCATGACCCAACCTCCGGTCGTCATCTCCAGCCGGCCGTCCTTTATCAGATTCTTCACCTTCATTTTTTTCGTCGGATGAGCACTGCGAAGCAAACAATTTCCAAATTACAATCCACGGGCACCAGTGCATTTTAACCGACAGTAGAGATCTATTCTCAGAGTTTACAACGGAACCTAGTAAAATTTGACGACATAAGTACTAAGCTTTTGTTACCCCGGTAGGTATCAGTTATAAAGCAGATAATCAACGGGCAACGGAAAATCAGGTAGAAATACCGCGTATTCAAAAGCTGCACACAATCGCGCAAAACAAGTACTATCAATTTGCCAAATTACTTCTACACATTCGTTTCTCTCTCCTTTCGCGAGTCCAGGGGGAGGGTGCAATTTAATTGTGTATACGTATTTTCTCATTGGTTCTACGAGGTCCTCGATTAACAAGCCACACACTGAGTTTGGCCAACTCTCGCATAAAATATTCAGTAACTTTGCTTTTTCGGACACACGTTTTAAAAATATTCTCCCTCACTTGTAAATCAGCAAGTACACATGCAATTTATCTTGACTGTACATAGCTATCGTGAAAAGCACAACTTGATTTCAAATGTTCGATGGTTTTGCTGTTTATGCGTTTACAGTTTGTTGTATGTTAAAAACAGAAGGAAAAAAAGAAAAAAAAATTTATGCAACCTAAGAAACAAAAGGCAATAATTTTCAAATATGAAAAAAGTGCAGCAACGAACTCACCTCTCCCACCAGAGGGACAAAAAAGACACCTCGCTCCAAATGAAGGTCATGTTCTGCCACTGCGTGAGCTTCGTGACCATGTTGTTGAGGATCATCCGCGTCGAGCTGTGAAAGTACTGCTCGAACGTTTTCAACCAGCCCGGGTCCGTGTGACTGTGCGGCACCAGTATAACCTGCGACAAAAAAAATACATGCAAGTGTCACTTTTATTTCTCCTTCTTGATTTTCCTACATGTATAATATTTATTATCACCCGTACGAGGGTCGTATCGAGAGTCTGAACATGTATATTGACCACACAGCTCCGGGCCAAGGGTGCTATTTTCATTAACAAGCATCCTCTCTAGGGTACCTTTTTTCCCCCCTCGCATGGAAAATCAATTCTCTCGTTTTTCAGTTTTTTTATTGAAAAAAGAAAGAAAGAAAAAAAAGAGAGTCTGACGAATTGGCGCCTAGAGTTGTTAAAACGAATATTTCATCCCTAAATGTAAACACACGCGCGTTCCAACGCTCCATTTGACTTTGTAATTCAACAAGTAATGCACACAGTGGCCATTTTGTAAACTCACGCACACATACGCGTGACGTACGTAACTTTATTTACACGGCAATAAACCAATTAAACCGTCCAAGCGCGCGCTTGGGTACACATGAAAAATTCGCAACGAGCCTCAAATATGCCACGGTGAATCATTAAAATCGAATATCGGGGCATCACCGGCAGCTCCCCGGATTAGCATAACCCCCGGGTGTCGGTATTAAAGTCAAATCGAGCCATAAATATTGAAACGAGCGTCTCTCACCCTACACATGCGCGGCCCTCCTCTATACTCCGTTTATAATGGACACAATCAACGCTGCCGCTACGCGAGAGGGCTGGACACTGGACAGGTTGAGAGAGGAGGGGGCAAAAAAAAAGAGGGTAGGTGCAAAAACTCGCGTGCTGTACATAATATACACTCTTGTATTGGCATCCCTCGCGCTCAGGCGGCAATTAGCGTGACAGCCGCGCGTATTATCACGGGTTCTCGGTTTATTGGCAAATTAAAGTGAAATTAGCTCGTAAACAAGAGCAGCCATGCCGTGCATGGTACCCCACTGCCTTTTGGCCCGATCGAAAAAATATACTGGTTGGAAGATAAAATACAAAGTAACCCCGAAATCCCTCCCACCCGTCAGTCAGTCAGTCAGTCAGCATTGGATTCCGAGGGAGTACAGGAAAGCGGATTGGCGCCCGTTGTGCCCCCCTCGCGTCGGATCTGTGTTATCTGCTCGCAGCTTGCTCTTAATCATCTTTGAAGACGACCGGCTGTGCTCCGAGCCTCCTGTATTACACTCCTGACTGATGCCACCTCCGATGCCTATGTATGTATATACTCTGCACATTAATTTGCTTTGAAGCTTGTATACATATATATAGACGTGTAGGTACAGGTGAGTACGGTATCAAGCGAAGGTACCCTCCATCCCCTAATCCTCTCCAGGCTTTGATATTCCTGGAACGCTTTGTTGGATAATATGCATTGTACGCGCTTGTGCGTATGTGTGTGTGGTACCATACGGTTTACCGTTGCAGGGGCATATATTGGCACTGGATTTTTATGAATTCCTCGCGCATGGATATAAATAGGGTGTATCAGATGTATGCAAGACAGGAGCTGTACAGTTGATGCCAAGAGCGGGAGACATAAAGTTGAGGACCAAAGTTTGGCGAACGCCACTTCCACTCGAATTCGGGGATAGTTCGAACGGTTGATAGCCAAAGTTTACTGCAAGTTCCAACTGCTTTCGAGCGCTCGGGAGATATTTGCTTTCGTTTAATTTGTTTCGCTTCTTACGAAAACGAATCATTGGGATTTCCAAGCGTTGCCTTTTGATGGAGGAGTTAGATTTACCGAGGAGGGTATGTCGTTAGGATGCATATTTCTTCCATTGACAATTGGAGGGCGGATTTTTTATTGTCACGCTTATTCCTTGGTAAAATGAGCTATTGCCTGGAACGTTGGACCGTTTGATTTTGGAAAAATTTGTTTTGGGACTGTAAGTTGGTTGAGTTGTTGGTACTTATGTTTCATCGACTGGAACTTCTGTCAAAAAAGTTTGAAAAACATTCGACGTGTAAGAAGTTGGCTATTTGCACCTTGATGAAAACCGTTAAACTTTATTTTCATATGCGTTATAAAAATTCCAGAAATCATCTCCGTTTATTGTGTGACATCGTTTGAGAGGTCAAAAAAAAAAGGGGGTTTCTACTTATGTACGTCGCATCCAAGAGCACGATATGTCAAATTTGAAAAGAAAACAGTTCTCAAGGTACGAAAGATATTAACAGCTTCCTAGATTAACTTTATCAAAGTAAGCCAAAAAAAATGTATCATCTCTACGAGTCAATATTAAATGTTCCCATACACTTTGCTTAAAAGTGGATTTTTATGGTAAAGATAAAATTTTTATCTGATCTGTTTTTGCCTTTGTTTGAATTAGTGCTCATTTTACCGGGTAGATGGCTGAATTATCGAGCTCTGTCCCAACTATCGAGGGTTTTAGTTACCATCATACAACTAATTAATAGATTGTGATGTGTGAGCAAATGCTGGTTTTTATAGGTTAAAGTATTCAACGATTCGATTTATTGCATAATAATGTAATTGACCCACGAATAATATGATTTTATGCGTCCGTACAGGATTGATATGGGCAATAATAAAACTCAAATAAAAAAGACTAATATACTATGCATTTTGACTTAAATGACGTCCTTTCTTGATCTTATTGTTCCGATCCCACAGGCACATTATATACTACAGGAAAGAATATCAAAAAATCTATTTGATTTGTCATAGGCAGATTATCATAAAAGTATCAAAATTTTCATGTGTATTCTTTTTTGTTGCCAAAAACGTTTGTTTTATTTGCAACAGCATAATGCATGTATACGTAAGTTGCGTTGTTGTTGTTTCAATATACTAGTACGTGCAAAAACATGTATAGGTAATAGTACAATGAGGGTAAGAGGCGAAATAAAAAAAAATTCAGAATAAGTAGCTGAAAAAAAAATATCAGTATTCTCTTAGTGTACCTTAGTCTGCATATTTCTCTCAAGCGTGCACTGCTTTGGTAAGCCAGTTTTTTGCATTCTTCAAATGCACCTCGATCCCACAGCCCTCATGCTTTGGAAGAGTTCAAAGGATAATCATTGCTCAAAGCTGAAGAATCGATCGAAATTCTTTTTTTTTTTTTTTTTTTTTTAGAAAGGATCAAAAAAGGGAATCGCGACTGCTGCGCGGAAAGAAGATTTTTCGAGCGCGAAGAGGTAATCGTCTACTGTGCAGAGCTTATTTGCCTCGAATCAGCTGATTTTCGCTTTGACGTTCTCCTACTACGGTTCCCTGAATGTGACTGGTGATTTGAGTGGAACAACGTGACACATTTTTTTTTTCTCTTATTTTTCCATTACAATTTTTGTTGTGCTGTACTCAAAGCGGCGTGGATGTGACGTTTCGTCATTTTTGTTAAAAAATACATCCGGGTGTTTTTTAAAATGGATAAAGAACGTGACAAGATTTTTAAATAAATTTTTTTTTTTTTAATATTGACATATAAAATATCAATATTACATTGAAATTAAATGTTGGGTGTGTGATCGATAAAATCTATAATTAATATGTATTTGGATATTTTTTAAACTCAACAGTTATGAAATTTGTAGGACATCATTCAAAGAGCAAACGAAATTGTGAAAAATTAAAAAAAAACACAAAACTTAATTGATTGTTAAAAAAGCAAAATTCCTATACAGAAAGACTTGAAATTCATACACGAAGCAAAAACAACCACAAATCAACGCGCCCTAATCAAAGGATCGCACGAAGGCTTGATAAACTACTCGAGCTGCGACGCAACAAAAAAAAAAAAAAATTAAAAAAGTAACAACCCACTCGTCTTCAAAGGGAATTCAGTGCTCTTGATTTTGAACAGCGTGGTAATACGGTAATTAAAAACTCGACGGCTGAAAAAAGTGGCCGGACCACAAGTACAGCGACACCAAACAATGCCAAGGATGTGTAGCCATTTTACAGGCCCCCCCGAGAGGCAGGGGGGTGGAGGAGAAAATTCTTTATGCGCCAAAAGCTTATACACCAGCTCCCCGCTTGTGTGCAAAACAATATAACTTTTAATATAACCGCGCGAACGGCACTGACTCAAAAGCACTTCCACACGCCCCCCCATGCACGTGCAACCCACTTTCGCATATCCTCTTTTCTCACACGATAAATTCCGCGGACTTGCTTCTTTCCTCCTCCCTGACCCTGCCACCAACAACTCATAGCCAGCATACAGAAACCATTATTCGCGGGGCATAAAGTGTATACATGTGTGGGTGTGTGCGCCTGACTACAAAGTCGAGATGGGTGGCTGGGGGAGCACGGAAAACAGGATATTGCCCCCGGGGCTTTAGCGGGAGAAAATGACATCCACACGTATACGCCCGTACACCCGTGTGTATGTAATATAATGTGCCCGCATGCAATCGTGTCTGAAACGAGTTGTAAAAGGGTGAGCGCGGATTTTTTCTCTCTTTGCGAAATTTAGCCAAAGGCAAAGGGACTCTCGGAAGACGTTTGTGGGTACGCGTATGCGTTTGTGGGAGTTTCTAATTTTCTGGCTGGCTGTGTGTGTGTGTGGGTATGTGGAAGGACGATTACATGAAAAATTAAATTAATTATAATTTGGGTTTTACCGTGTTGGGTGTAAATGCTTTCCATCCTTCAATTACATACTATGTGATATTATATTTTTAAGGTGCGAAATGATTAGCGAGCCCGAAGCGCACCCAAGGGCGCAAAACGGACACTTTGTGCCTTGGATAAAGAAATAGTAGTTTTCCTACGAGTTTGAAAAGTCTTTGTTTGCGAACCGAGAGGTTTGCGGCCCGACCCGAAGGCGAGGTCCGTAACGAGGTTCGTAAAGGAGACTTTTCGAACGAGTTCCGGAAAACTGCTTTTTCGCCCGAGGAAGTACGAGCCTCCCAAAACCACCCGAGGGCGGAAAAATATTGTTTCTGACTCGGCCATGTGATGGTACGAAATGTATTTGAGGCTTTTTTGGTGTAGTGAGAAATAAAATCGTGGTTGCCCTGAAAAGTTGGTGTGGCACACTTTTCCTAACTGTT